TGGACCTCCTGAGGGCCCCTGATCTTTTTGGCCCCTGTGTGACACAGAAGAGTGCTGGACTGGAGGGGCCACTGGCCTGATCCAACAGTGGGTTCTCTTACATTCTTATAAGAGGGAATTGGATAAACATATGGAGCAGAGGTCTATCAGTGGCTATTAGCCACAAGGCATAGATAGGAACTCTCGGTCTGGGGCAAGGGATGCTCTGTCTTCTTGGTGCTTGGGGGGGGCAACAGTGGGAGGGCTTCTAGTGTCCTGGCCCCGCTGCTGGACCTCCTGACGGCAACTGGTCTTTTTGGCCACTGTGTGACTCAGAGTGCTGGACTGGATGGGCCATAGGCCTGATGCAAGATTGGCTTCTCTTACGTTCTTATAAGAGGGAATTGGACTGGAGCAGAGGTCCGTCAGTGGCTCTTAGCCACAAGGCATAGGTAGGAACTCTCGGTCTGGGGCAAGTGATGCTCTGTCTTCTTGGTGCTTGGGGGGGCAACAGTGGGAGGGCTTCTCGTGTCCTGGCCCCACTGCTGGACCTCCTGAGGGCCTCTGGTCTTTTTGGCCCCTGTGCGACACAGAAGAGTGCTGGACTGGAGGGGCCTTTGGCCTGATCCAACATTGGCTTCTCTTATGTTCTTATAAGAGGGAATTGGATAAACATATGGAGCAGAGGTCCATCAGTGGCTATTAGCCACAAGGTATAGATAGGAACTCTCGGTCTGGGGCAAGGGATGCTCTGTATTCTTGGTGCCTTGGAGGGGCAACAGTGGGAGGGCTTCTAGTGTCCTGGCCCCGCTGCTGGACCTCCTGAGGGCCTCTGGTCTTTTTGGCCCCCGTGCGACACAGAAGAGTGCTGGACTGGAGGGGCCTTTGGCCTGATCCAACATTGGCTTCTCTTATGTTCTTATAAGAGGGAATTGGATAAACATATGGAGCAGAGGTCCATCAGTGGCTATTAGCCACAAGGTATAGATAGGAACTCTCGGTCTGGGGCAAGGGATGCTCTGTATTCTTGGTGCCTTGGAGGGGCAACAGTGGGAGGGCTTCTAGTGTCCTGGCCCCGCTGCTGGACCTCCTGAGGGCCTCTGGTCTTTTTGGCCCCTGTGTGACACAGAAGAGTGCTGGACTGGAGGGGCCTTTGGCCTGATCCAACATTGGCTTCTCTTATGTTCTTATAAGAGGGAATTGGATAAACATATGGAGCAGAGGTCCATCAGTGGCTATTAGCCACAAGGTATAGATAGGAACTCCCGGTCTGGGGCAAGGGATGCTCTGTATTCTTGGTGCCTTGGAGGGGCAACAGTGGGAGGGCTTCTAGTGTCCTGGCCCCGCTGCTGGACCTCCTGAGGGCCCCTGGTCTTTTTGGCCCCCTTGTGACACAGAAGAGTGCTGGACTGGAGGGGCCACTGGCCTGGGCCAACACTGGCTTCTCTTATGTTCTTATTTATTTGTTTTATTTCATTTATACCCTGCCCTCCCCGCACGCGGGAGCTGTTCTCCCTGGCAGGCTAGCAAAGCCAGCCGAGGCTGAAGTGACACAGAGAAGATAAAAACTTCACAACCTCAGTAACTGTAGAGATAAAACAGGGAACAGCAGAGAAACAAAGCAAAGAAAGAAAATATAACCCCTCCAACAGGACCTTAGAGGGGGAAACAATAAAAACATTAAAGAAAACCAGAAGAAAAAGCCTTGAGCATCTGCTATCTCACACCGGAAACCAGAACACAACCTGCTTAAGTCACCCGATTTCTAACATATTTTCCTTTAGTCAATAATATATTATTCTTTTAGTCATTGCTCAAGATCACCTGATTATAGGAGCTCTGAAAAGGAAAGTAAACAAGGTCTGTTAGCCTGAAAATCTGACTGGCTAAAGCAGGGATGTAAAACGTAAGGCCCGGGGGCCAGAACTGGCCTGCCCAGGGCTCTTAGGTGGCCCGTGAGCTCCTAGTGCAAGGGAGGGAACAGAACAACCTCATCTGCAGCAGCAGTTTGGTGTTGTGGTTAAGTGCGCGGACTCTAATCTGGGAGAACCGGGTTTGATTCCCCACTCCTCCATATGCAGCCGGCTGGGTGACCTTGGGTCAGTCACAAGTTCTTGCAGAGATATTATTTCAAGGCCAGTTCTCAAAAGAGCTCTCTCAGCCCCACCTACCTCACAGGCAATGCTCCTTCTAAGCTGTGGAGTCTTGTGAGCAAAAATTCTACTTTGTGAGCTACTGGCATCAAAGTTGTGAGCGAGCGATTTGGCTGCTGCATAAATTAATTTGCTCTGGAGCCATCCTTCCTGTGCTAAGACAAAAATGTGTGAGCCAGAGGCTAAAAAAACTGTGAGCTAGCTCACACTAACTCAGCTTAGAGGGAACACTACTCACAGGGTGTCTGTTGTGGGGAGGGGAAGGGAAAGGAGTTTGTGAGCCGCTCTAAGATGCCTTTGAGTAGTGAAGATCGGGGTATAAATCCAATCTCTTCTTCTTCCAGTCTGCAGACATGGGTGTTCCTTTGCAACGGAGCCTTGCAGTGAGGATACATGAACTTGGCACTTATGGGCTGCTGTCCTTTATACAGTTTATATATCCGGTACCGGGCATTACATTTTATGGCACACATGGCCTGGCTCGACAAAGTGAAATTTATGTCCGATCCGGCCCTCATTACAAATGAGTCCAACACCTCTGGGCTAAAGGGCATCCAAAGACCTTCCAGCCCTACTGTGGACTTGTTCTCTGATGCTTGTGAACATCGCCATTCAACTTGAATCTCTTTCCACATTCTGTGCATTCAAAAGGTCTTTCCCCTGTGTGGGTTCTCTGATGCATGTGAAGATGGCCACTCAACCTGAATCTCTTTCCACATTCTATGCATTCAAAAGGTCTCTCCCTTGTGTGGGTTCTCTGATGCTTGTGAACATCGCCATTCAACTTGAATCTCTTTCCACATTCTGTGCATTCAAAAGGTCTTTCCCCTGTGTGGGTTCTCTGATGCATGTGAAGATGGCCACTCAACCTGAATCTCTTTCCACATTCTATGCATTCAAAAGGTCTCTCCCTTGTGTGGGTTCTCTGATGCTTGTGAACATCGCCATTCAACTTGAATCTCTTTCCACATTCTGTGCATTCAAAAGGTCTTTCCCCTGTGTGGGTTCTCTGATGCATGTGAAGATGGCCACTCAACCTGAATCTCTTTCCACATTCTATGCATTCAAAAGGTCTCTCCCTTGTGTGGGTTCTCTGATGCTTGTGAACATCGCCATTCAACTTGAATCTCTTTCCACATTCTGTGCATTCAAAAGGTCTTTCCCCTGTGTGGGTTCTCTGATGCATGTGAAGATGGCCACTCAACCTGAATCTCTTTCCACATTCTATGCATTCAAAAGGTCTCTCCCTTGTGTGGGTTCTCTGATGCTTGTGAACATCGCCATTCAACTTGAATCTCTTTCCACATTCTGTGCATTCAAAAGGTCTTTCCCCTGTGTGGGTTCTCTGATGCATGTGAAGATGGCCACTCAACCTGAATCTCTTTCCACATTCTATGCATTCAAAAGGTCTCTCCCTTGTGTGGGTTCTCTGATGCTTGTGAACATCGCCATTCAACTTGAATCTCTTTCCACATTCTGTGCATTCAAAAGGTCTTTCCCCTGTGTGGATTCTCTGATGCCTGTGAAGATCGCCACTCGACCTGAATATCTTTCCACATTCTGTGCATTCAAAAGGTTTCTCCCCAGTGTGGGTTCTCTGATGCAGTTGACAATTGCCATGGCGACTGAATCTCTTTCCACACACTGAGCATTCAAAAGGTCTCTCCCCTGTGTGGGTTCTTAGATGCAGTTGAAGAGTGTCTCTTTCCACATTCTGTGCATTCAAAAGGTCTTTCCCCTGTGTGGATTCTCTGATGCCTGTGAAGATCGCCACTCGACCTGAATATCTTTCCACATTCTGTGCATTCAAAAGGTTTCTCCCCAGTGTGGGTTCTCTGATGCAGTTGACAATTGCCATGGCGACTGAATCTCTTTCCACACACTGAGCATTCAAAAGGTCTCTCCCCTGTGTGGGTTCTTAGATGCAGTTGAAGTTTGCTGCTTCGACTGAATCTCTTTCCACATTCTGAACATTCAAAAGGTCTCTCCCCTGTGTGGGTTCTCTGATGCTTTTGAATATTGCTGCTTTGACTGAATCTCTTTCCACACTCTGAGCATTCAAAAGGTCTCTCCCCTGTGTGGGTTCTCTGATGCTTTTGAATATTGCTGCTTTGACTGAATCTCTTTCCACACTCTGAGCATTCAAAAGGTCTCTCCCCTGTGTGGGTTCTCTGATGCTTTTGAATATTGCTGCTTTGACTGAATCTCTTTCCACACTCTGAGCATTCAAAAGGTTTCTCCCCTGCATGGGTTCTTTGGTGCCTCTTAAGATTCCTGCTTAACCTGAATCTCTTTCCACACTCTGAGCATTCAAAAGGTCTCTCCCCTGTGTGGGTTCTCTGATGCTTTTGAAGATACCCCCTCTCACGGAATCTCTTTCCACACTCTGAGCATTCCAAAGGCTTCTCGCCTGCGTGGGTTCTTTGGTGCACAAGGAACTGTGATCTACTTTTGAAGTACTGTTCACACTGAGTGGATGTACTTGCCTTCATTATCCTCTGCTTTGGAAGATGTACATTACGCCCTCTTCCATCGTTTTTCTCAAACATACGGCTGCCTTTCTTTCTCTTAGGTCTGCCTTGATTCCTGATGTTTTCTTTCAAGTCTCAATTTTTAGCTCGATCTGGCAACTGCTGATCAAGTTCCTCACCCTTCTCATCCCTCAGATCATCCTCTGCTGCAAGAAAGAGAGAAATTCTATCAACACCTGGGAGGGCAGGTAAGGTCCAAAGGCATCTATGTGACTGCGGGAGGAAAAGACTGATGGCCCTTTAGCCTCTCCCAGCTTGCCTGATCTTAACCCCCCTCCACCTTCACTCTGAAAATCTTGTGAAGAAGGAGGAGGAGATTGGATTTATACCCCACCCTTCACTACCCAAAGGAGTCTCAGAGCGGTTTACAATCTCCATTCCCTTCCCCTCCTCACAACAGACACCCTGTGAGTAGTGTTCTCTCTAAGCTGAGTTAGTGTGAGCTAGCTCACAGTTTTTTTAGCCTCCTGCTCACACATTTTTGTCTTAGCTCAGGAAGGATGGCTCCAGAGCACACTAATTGATGCAGCAGCCAAATCACTCGCTCACAACTTTGATGCCGGTAGCTCACAAAGTAGAATTTTTGCTCACAAGACTCCACAGTTTAGAAGGAACATTGCCTGTGAGGTAGGTGGGGCTGAGAGAGCTCTTTTGAGAACTGGCCTTGAAATAATATCTCTGCGAGAACTTGTGACTGACCCTAGGTCACCCAGCTGGCTGCATGTGGAGGAGGGGGGAATCAAACCCGGTTCTCCCAGATTAGAGTCTGCACACTTAACCACGGCACCAAACTGGCTCTCATCCCTCTCAAGAGCCACAGCTGAGCTCTTGCTCAGAAGGAGGTCCTGACCCTCCAAGTCCCCCTCTCCTTCCCTCTTTACCCAGCAGGTGGTATGATTGTACCAAACCAAATGTTGAAAGACCTGAGTCAGACTGAGGTGATGAGAGAGGAGATCCTACGACTAATAGACATCTTAAAAACCGATAAATCACCAGGCCCAGATGGCATACATCCGAGACTTCTGAAAGAACTCAAAATGTGAATCGGTGGATCTCCTGACACAAATATGTAATCTTTCCTTAAAATCTTCCTCCATTCCTGAGGACTGGAAGGTAGCTATTGTCACTCCCATCTTTAAAAAGGGTTCCAGAGGAGATCTGGGAAACTACAGGCCAGTCAGTCTGACGTCGATACCAAGTAAGTTGGTGAAAACCGTTATTAAGGAGATAATTATTAGGCACATTGATGAACAAAAACTACTGAGGCAGACTCAGCATGAGTTCTGTAAGGGAAGATCTTGTCTCACTAACCTGTTAGTGTTCTTTGAGGGAATGAACAAATATGTGGACCAGGGGGACCCAATAGTTGTTGTTTACCTTGACTTCCAGAAAGCTTTTGATAAAGTTCCTCATCAAAGGCTCCTAAGTAAGCTCAATAGTCATGGGATAAAAGCACAAGTCCTTTTGTGGATAAAAAACTGGCTACTTAATAGAAAACAGAGAGTGAGTATAAATGGGCAATTTTCTCAGTGGAGGGTGGTAAGCAGTGGGGTACCGCAGCGATCAGTACTTGGTCCATTGCTTTTTAACTTGTTCATTAATGATTTGGAGTTGGGAGTAAGCAGTGAAAAGACAGGTTGCTTACCTGTAACTGGTGATCTTCGAGTGGTCAACTGTGCATTCACACCCTTGGGATAGTCTGCGCCTGCGCTGACCCTGTTCGGTACTGGTAGCAAGCCAAAGGGATTTTCACGCCTACTCCTAGGTCACGTGCTGGGCTCCACTGTGCATGACTAAGAAGGGGCATGCAGATCCCGCCAGTTCCTTCTGACCGCCGCCCAACAGCCTTCAAAGAACAAGATGAAGGGGCGAGAGCAGAGGGGAAGGAGGGCGGGTGGTGTGAATGCACAGATGACCTCTTGAAGATTACCAGTTACAGGTAAGCAACCTGTCTATCTTCTTCGTGGTCTCTGTGCATCACACCCTTGGGAGATTAGCAAGCAGTAAACGCTTACCTGGAGGAGGGGCCAAGGCCCTACATCTGTGCTGTCTGCAACACCGCTCGACCCACTGCCGTACGATGACTAAACCGGGTATCAAGGGCATAGTGCTTCATGAAGGTGAGAGGGGTAGCCCAAGTCGCAGCGTTACAGATGTCCTCCAACGATGCACCTCTCAAGAAAGCCATAGACATCGCCACCGCCCGTGTGGAATGGGCCCGAAGCTGTCCCGGAAGTGGCTTTAGCGCCAGAGCATAACACAGTTTTATAACCTCCACAATCCATCTGGACAAATGTTGGGAGGAAATCTTCTTCCCTTTAGAGGGCAGACTATGAGCAACAAACAATGCTGGAGACTTACGGAAAGGTTTAGTCCTACCCAGGTAAAACAACAGCGCTCTCTTAACATCCAGGGAGTGCAATCTGCGTTCTTCCTCAGTGGAAGGAGACGGAAAAAACGAAGGAAGAACGATATCAGAACGTAAATGAAACTCTGATGCAAGGCCAGTGAAACCCCCAGCGGGGAAAAATTCAAATACGGAACGTCACATCTAAGTGCAGACAACTCGCTCACCCTGCGAGCAGACGTAATGGCAACTAGAAACACAGTCTTTAGCGACAGCAACTTCAAACTACAAGTAGCCAATGGCTCAAAAGTCTTCCCCGTCAGGAAATTTAAGACCAATGCCAAGTCCCAGACCGGGGTAGGATCATGACGAGGAGGGTACAGACGAATGAGACCTTTACCAAACTTTTTGGTCTGTGGGTGAGAAAAAACTGAAAACCCATCCATAGACGGATGGTTTGCTGACACCGCAGCTAAGTAAACCTTTACCGAAGAAAAACTGAGTCCCATGTCCAATCTGGACAAAATGAAGCCGAAAATTGACCTCAAGTCAGACGGGGGTGGAGGCAATTTAAGAGAAAGTAAATATTCCAGAAACTTATTCCATTCCCTATCATATGATGTTCTTGTGGAAAGTTTACGACAATTTAGGAGAACGTCATCTATTCTTTTGTTCATTACGGAAAAGTGTATTTCCCACACTATCAGCTTGAGGCTCAGGGGATCATGGTGGAGGATCTGGCAGCAGATCCATCACCCGAGGAAAGTGAATGAAGGAGCCCTTGGACAGGCAAAGCAGCACAGGGAACCAGTGTTGACGAGAGGCCACCACGGAGTTACTAGGAGACAATGAGGCTTGTCTTGCTGTATCTTGACAAGGACCCTGTGAATGAGCGGAAGTGGAGGGAACAGAAACACAAAGAGATGTGTCCACGAGATCAGTAGGTCGTCTCCTAAGGACAGAGGATCCACCCCTGCCCTGGAACAGAACAGGCAACATTTCGCATTGTGACGATTCGCGAAGACATCCACTTCTGGGATTCGCGAAGACATCCACTTCCGGGTGGCCCAGCTGATTGAAGATGGGCGAGAGGTACTCCCAATTCAGTTCCCACTCGTGATCCGTTGCTCCCCCTCTGCTCAAGAAGTCTGCCTGAAGATTCATAATTCCTGGCAGATGGGCCGCCTGGACAACAGTGTTCCACTGAAGGCAGTCGTTCCAGATGGTCAAGGCCAGCCGGCAAAGAGCTCTGGACATGGTTCCTCCGTGGCGACTGATGTAAGACATTGTGGTAGTATTGTCTGTAAAAATCATAACTACTTTCCCCGCTACAATCCGTTGAAAGGATCTGAGAGCAAACCGCACTGCCAGCAACTCCAGATAATTGATATGGTGATGTCTCCACTGAACGTCCCATGGTGCCCCCACACATTTTCCTTCTGTGTGAGCACCCCAACCCCATAGAGAGGCGTCCATGGTAACCAACACCGTTGGGGCAGGACGTTGGAATGGAGCCCCTGCGAACAAATTGGTCTCTGATAACCACCGTCGGAGGGAACGGAGGACATGCGGGGGAGCCTTCATGAGTTGGTTTGGGGGATGAATGTGTGGACGGAACTTCTTCAGAAACCATAGTTGTAATGGGCGCATGCGTAGACGCGCACATTCGATCACCGATGTGGTGGCTGCCATGAGCCCCAACAATCTTTGAATGCGAACTGCAGAGGTTATGTTGGAACAGAATAACCGATGGATTTCATAATAAATCGATTCTGCCCTCTGAAGAGGTAGGTAGGCCCGGGTATCTATAGAGTCGATGACAGCCCCTATGAACTGTACTCGAGTCGCCGGCTGAAGCATAGACTTCTGCAGGTTCACGAGAATGTCCGAGGGAAGCAAGAAGAGACAGGGTAAGGTTGATATGACGAATGAGGACCTCTTCGGAGTCCGCAACCAGCAGCCAATCGTCTATATATGGGAACACCTTAATTCCCTGACGACGTAGATGGGCCACGATGACTACCATTACCTTCGTAAAAACCCTGGGGGCGGTGGAAAGCCCAAAAGGAAAGGCCTTGTATTGGTAATGTGCCTCCCCGACGGTAAACCTGAGGAAGCGTCTGTGACAGGGATGAATTGAGACATGGAAGTATGCATCTTTCAAATCTAAAGTGACCATCCAGGCTCCTGGTGACAGTAGTGGCAGAATGTTTTGGAGAGTGGTCATTTGAAATTTATTGTAGAGGATGAACTGGTTGAGATATCTGAGATCCATGATAGGGCGGAGGCCTCCGTCCTTCTTCAGGACCGTGAAGTATCGAGAGTAGAAACCTTGGTGGTGCTCTGATGTCGGAACTGGTTCTATGGCATCCTTTGATGTGAGAGATCGTACTTCCTGAAGTAGAACTGGCGATGCCGGAGTTTGAACGAAATGGGAGAAGGAGGGTATTTGAAAAAAATTCTATGAGATAACCCTCTTTGACGACGGAGTGGACCCACTTGTCCGTTGAAATCTGTAGCCAAACGTTGAGGAATGGCGCAAGACGGGTGGTTATCTCAGGAACGGAGTCAAAGGCCCTGTTTGGAATTCTTCGGTGCCTTTGGCTTATATTGC